TTGTCACAGATACTTTCTCCCACAGTACTTTTTAAGTCAATAAAAAGAAGTTTTGTGTCAGTTTCAGTGCCAGAGGTCAGTGATTTTTAAACAGCCAGTTGCCTTTTAAAAATGGTGAGATAAAACTGTGGTGAAAGCTGCCTGACCTCGCTGTTTGAGTGGAATTTTCCATTACAAAAAGAAAGATTGGTTTTTCTCTCTTTTTTAAGTTTACAGGAATACAAAGCAAAGATTTAAGAACTGAAGAGAAGAAAAAGCAACAAAGAATAAAGGGGCTTTCTTTAAACCCTTCATCCTAGAGCTGTGGTTCCTCATTCCAAAGCAGTGGCCCCTCATTCTAGAGTGGCAGCCCCTCATTCTAGAGCAGTGGCCCCTCATTCTAGAGCAGTGGTTTCTCATTCTAGAGCAGTGGTCCCGCACCCTATAGTGGCAGCTCCCCATTCTAGAGCAGTGGTTTCTCATTTTAGAGTAGTGGGTCCTCATCCTAGAGCAGTGGCTCCTCATTCCAGAGTGACAGTCCCTCATTCTATAGTGGCGGTCCTCAGCTCTAGATCAGTGGTCCCTTATTCTAGAGCAGTGGTCCCTCGTTTTTAGAGAGGCAGTCCCTCACTCTAGAGCAGCGGCCCCCTCATTCTAGAGTGGTGGCCCCTCGCTCTAGAGTGGTGGTTCTTCATTCTGGAGTAGTGGTCCCTCATTCTAGAGCAGTGGTCCCTCATTTTAGAGCAGCGGTTCTCAACCTTCCTAATGCTACAACAACCCTTTACTACAGTTCCTCATGTTGTGGTGACCCCCACCATAAAATCATCTTCACTGCCACTTCATAACTAATTTTGCTGCTGTTATGAATCGTAGTGTAAATATCTGATATTTGACCCCTCAGAAAGGGTTGTTTGACACTCCCCGCAAAGGCATCTAGTCTGTAATGCCAAGCCTGACAACCTGAGTTCTAATTCTGGTGGAAAGAGAGAACCAACTCCCAAAAGTTCCCCTCTGACCTCCGCATGCTAATACACATGTGTATGCACACAAATGCATGTGCGCGCACACACACACACACCACTTGCATGCACACAAAATAAATAAATACATGTAATTAAATACTTCCATATTATGTAGCTAAATTTCCCTGCAGCCTAAGGCAGTTTCTAATTACAAATTACTAATAGGAGATGTTTGCTTAGTTAGTAGAGGGTTCTTCTGAGTTCCTGTATGGGAAGGTCCACACTTTGGGAGCTATTGACACTGGGCATCACCTGGTGCCCTAGGTGAGTTCAGGGCACTGTGTATGCTACAGGTAGTGTAGCTAAACAGAAAATGTGTTTGAGGGGTCTGGATTGGCTGGAAAGAACTTTGGGGAGGGGATACTCAGGGTCAGGGCAGAGCAGATTCCTGCTGTTGCCTTGTTTTTTAGCTCTTTCTTGTCTTGGTCCCAGCCATAGCCACACTTGGGAGGTTTCTCTAGTGCCATAGGAGGGAGCTGTGATTGGAACACGGAGGCCAGACCAATCAACATTCAAAATGCCCAGTGGAGAAGCCAACTGTGCTGGTTTGAACAAGAATGACCCCAATATGCTTTATTGCTTGGTACCAATTGGTGGAACTGTTTGGGAAGGACTAGGAGGCGTGGCCTTGTTGGAGGAGGTGTGTCCCTAGGGGTTGACTTTGAGGTTTCAGAAGCCCACACCATTTCCAGTCAGTTCTCTCTTTTCCTCACGTCTGTGGATCATGATATAAGGTCTCAGCTTCTGCTCCAGCGCCATGCCTGCCTGTTGCCATGATCCCCACCACAATGGCCATGGAACCTTGAGTCCCCGATGCTTTCTTTTATAAGTTGCCTTAGTCATGTTGTTTTATCACAGCAATAGAAAAGGTCTATGACACCAGCAGAAGTATTTGAGCAATCTAATGTCATTCCCCAGTAAGTGAAGCAGGAAACAGAATTAGTGTTTTCATGTATTTTAATGGCCAGGATTTGTAAGTTAGTATCATGCCTCTTGTTCTGCAGAGGCCTCAGTGTTCATCCCCTCCACTTGCAAAGTATGTGAGCCTGCTGAATGCCCCTCCTGCAACAGCGCCTCCTCTCAGGCCACTCCCACACCCTCTCTTCTTTGCCCAGCATCCTCTGCCTCCAGCTCCAGGGGCTGCTGTCAGTCCTGGAATTGAGGTCTGCTCTAACATCGGACTCGCTGGCGCTTTGATTTATCTGGGGGAGAAAATTGCTTGGGCTTTTCCTCTGTTTAAGAAACAGTGGAAATTCTCTTTGGAAAACAAGCATCCTTCATGAGAAAGCAAATGGGAGACTTGCTGGGCCAGGACACCACAGATCCGACTTTGTTATTAAATTTAGCCTGGTTGTCTTTTGAGCTGCTTAAGCAGGAGTCTTTATTTGGACAAGCCCAGCACCCACGTGCCCTTGGGCTGCCTCTCCTCACATCTCTGCAGCCAGACTGTAAGCCTGCAGTCTGTGGAAAGGTTTAGAATGCTGGGGACAAACGCAGGGCCACATGAAGCGCTAGGGGCTAAGCCAGATATCTCAAAGATCCGCTTGTTCTCCCCGCTGAGAACAGGCCATTCTGATTCTCTGGCTTCTGCTTCTGAGTTTGTTCTGCCTCCCTGTACGCAATACTGCTTTTGATGTCTCCTGATTCCTTATCTGTCTCCATGCTGGACATCCCCACACTTCTAGACCAGTGTTAGCTGGGGTGGCCTTTTCGTTTCAGGACACCAGTGTTTTCTTCCCTAAGCAAAGAGGGTCTGTGGACTGCAGCTTAGTAAGTTTGTCACAAGTGCCTACACAGCAGCCTTTGGCTTATTCTAATAAAAAATAAGAACTTAGAAAGGCAATAGCAGACAGATCAGATCCCTTGAATTAAAAAAGAAAAAGGCAATAAATAAGAGCGACACTACTGATCCCTACAGTTCCTTTAAATGGAACTTTGTTGTGAAATGTAGCACTATTTAAAACATGTATAAAACTCTAACCACTGGATGTTTCTTTAAATCCGGTTCAGGTGGCTTTACGTCTACTAATGAACATGTATTGTGACTGATTCGGACAATGACTAGAGAACTAAACTCTCTCGAAAGGCTGTCTTAGATAGAGCTGCTGTTGCTGTGAAGAGACAAGACTGAAAAGCAGGTTGAGAAGGGAAGGATTTATTTGGCTCACACTTCCTCATTACTTTTCATCAAAGGAAGTCAGGACAGGGAACTCAAGAAGGGGTGGAACCTGGAGGCAGGAGCTGATGCAGAGGCCATGGAAGGGATGCTGCTTACTGGCCTGCTCCCATGGCTTGCTCAGCCTGCTTTCTTATACAACCCAGGACCACCAGCCCAGGAGTGGCACCACCCATAGTGGGCTGGGTCCTCTCATATAAATCACAAATAAGAAAATGGCTTGCCTACAGCTTAGGTATTACGGAGGCATTTTCTCAACTGAGGGTCCCTCCTTCCAGATAACCCAAGCTTGTTTGGTGACATAAGACTAGTCACCACAAGGGCCAAGAATCACCTTAGAATGTTTTCAGAGTATACACAAGAGGGGCCAATGAGATGGCTCAGTATGTAAGGGTGTTGGAGGGGGCTGCTTACTGGTTCCCGGCCACCCAGATAGCTTAGACCTGAAATAATCACACAGAAACTGTATTAACTAAGTCACTCTGGTGACCTGAGTTCCATCCCTGGAACCCACGTAAAGATGGAAGGAGAAAACTGACTCCACAGCATTGTCCTCCAGTCACCATGGCACACAGGGCACACCTGTGCATGTCTGTGTCCACAAATGAGGAAAGGATACAAGCACCCTTTTATCTGTGCTGATTTTTCTCTGATAGAAGTTCTCGTTTAGTGTACAGATTACAAGTTTAAGGTTCTGAAATTTACCCTGAATGCATTATGTTAGCCTTGAGAAGGTTTTATGTTCTTCTGCGTAGCTGTGTCTGTGTCTCATGCTGGAGTTTCTCCCGCTGTCTGGATCTTACCCATCCCAATGCAGGCCCCTCCGCTAGGAGAGAAAGAGTTGACCTCTGTGGCTCCTGCCCTGAACTGGGCGGTCCATCAGCCGCAGTGATAGAATTGCTCCAGCAGCTAGTGCTGCTGTCTTTTTTGCAAGGGAGCGGGGCTTCGTGTTTAGTGCCCCTAAACAGGAGGATCTGAGCTCTGGAGGAGCTTGCCTCTATTATTATTATTATTATTATTATTATTATTATTATTAATTTTGGTTTTCTGAGACAGGATTTCTCTGAAGCTTTGGAGCCTGTCCTGGCACTAGCTCTGTAGACCAGGCTGGCCTCGAACTCACAGAGATCCACCTGCCTCCGCCTCCCATTATTATTATTATTATTAATTTTGGTTTTCTGAGACAGGATTTCTCTGAAGCTTTGGAGCCTGTCCTGGCACTAGCTCTGTAGACCAGGCTGGCCTCGAACTCACAGAGATCCACCTGCCTCCGCCTCCCGAGTGCTGGGATTAAAGGCACGCACCACCACTGCCTGGCTCCAGTAGTCTTTCTAATACCAGGTGCATGTAGTCTTAGTCTTACCTAATCTACTTAGGGAAGAATCTGCACAAAAGCAAGCGTATATTGTGTGTGGTGTTTTAGTTTACTTTGAAAGTGATATAAAGTGTGTAGCTCTCTTATAGCTCATAGCGGCCTTTTCTCTCACTCACGGTAAGCAGCTCTTGCCTGTTTAGATAAATAGTGGGAGATGGAGAAAGAATGAGGCGAAGGATCCGCCCCGAGAGTGTTGGCGTTTATTTGATAAAGCAAGAATGGAGATAATGTGTGCACACAGCACGCAGGCGTGCACGCGCACCACACACACACACACACACACACACACAGCGGGGAGGTGTTGAAAAAGATGATTTTATTTATTTGAGCAAGCACCCAGCGGACAGCTTGCTGCGGGCAGTGTGTTTGGGGAAATAACTCATCTAGCATTGCTGCTGAACTCCTAGTCCTTAGCATAGAGGTAAAGGTGTTCCGTGTGTCTTTTCAGCAAGTTCATCTCCGACCGTGAGAGCCGAAGAAGTCTCACCAACAGCCATTTGGAGAAAAGGAAATGCGACGAATATGTAAGTGTCCTCGGTGTGAGCGCAGGCCCTAGCCACGTGACTGGGGACAGCGTCTGTGTGCGTGGTCTGTGTGCGTTGTGGTGCAGTATAAAAGCGTATGCGCTCACAGCGCACCCTTCGGATACGCGGGACGGCGCTTTGATTCACATAGAACAGCGGTCAGAATGGCACCTTGTCGATGGCTACGTTTTTTCACGCAGCCCATTAAAAACAACTAGACTTCGAAGAAGGTTCTGCAGTTTCATTTCTCTTTGGGTTCTTGGTAACATTTGAGAGGCTTTGGCTTGAAGAACTGCCTTGAGACCATGTGCTTAGTGAGCATGTCTCTTTCTACCGTTCAGATTCCAGGAACGACCTCCCTGGGCATGTCTGTCTTTAACCTGAGCAACGCCATAATGGGCAGTGGGATTCTGGGACTCGCCTTTGCCCTGGCTAACACTGGAATCCTCCTGTTTCTGTGAGTATTGGGCGTGATCATGAATTCTATTTTACATCTGTTTTATGTATGCTTCCTGCCAGGTCCCAAAGAAACCCAGGATGAGTGGCTAACGGTGGTGTCAGTTCGTGCTTGGCCTCTAAGGTCCCTCAGTACCTGTGGCTACTCCAGTGCGTCTCATCCTACCCCCTACTATAAACTTCTCCAGGCTTAGGGAGCTTCCCTTCCTCTCCCGCGGCTTCTCACTCCTATGGAAGCCTGCCTTTCTGCCATGCCTTCTCTCTGCTCCTCTCTCGATTCTCTCTGTCTAGGCACTACTCTTGGATCCCTCTTGCTCTGTTTTCTTTCTCTTCTCTTTCACTCTTGGTGTCTCCCCAGCCCCCCCCAGCCCTCCCAGAGCCCTCCCTACCCCCAGCTCTACTCTCCCTTATAGCTATAATAAAACCCTCCTCAACCTAGGAGCGGTCGGGAGAGGGACTTTGGCAGGTGAGGGATGAGGGCAGGAGAGAAACATGCCAAAGCAGACAGAGCTTGAGCGCGGAGTTTACTGAGAGACGGGTAAAGGGGAAGGGGAGAAAAAAGCAGAGACCTGCTTGCCTCTTCCGAAGAACAGCAGGAAGGGGGAGGGGGTAGGCGGGGCTTGTCTGTTAAAGGACCTTCTGCACCTGCGCACAGTCAGGGTACTGCCTGCCAGGCGCAGAAGGGTGATGCACTGGATCGGGTTCCCAAGGGGTACGGCCGAGGTGTGCCCGGATGCTAACAGTTATGTTTCCATTTTCACTCACTTCTTTTATCATACAGAAAAAAAAAAAAAGAAATAGAAGCGTTTCTAAACAGTTTTTATTTATTTGCTCATTTATTAATTTGGCTAAGGAACCAGGACATACTTTCAGGTTTGTTTGAATGCCTTTCAGAATACACTGAGTACTTACAAGAAAGAAGAAATTCTTTCTTATTCATCAAAATGCAGAAACTTGCGAGGACTGAGACAGTCAACATTAGCCTTTTTCCGTACGTCATTTTCAAACTCTTGTCACTGAATCTGTCACATGGTCCCAATATTAGAGCTTCCGTCACTCTGGTATTTGAGCCACTTTGGAGCATGTGCTGTGCTCGAAGGTAATTGCAAATGTGTCATGGTAACTATCCCAGATGTACCAAGAAGCTGTTTGTCTTGGAGACGAGCCGTTATGCGTACCTTTCCTCAGAGTCAGTGACAACGGGCAATTTTCTGTTTGCGTAAGTTTGTCTCAAACTGTTAGGTGGGGCTGGGCAAATATTTTCAGTTGGAACTGCATGGAAGATCGTCACATGTCCTGACGCTTGGCACTCACACTCAGGTGCCTGGGAGGTCACACCCGCCTGTCTCCACGTTGCCCTGCCCCATGCTCCTCTGGTCCTTTCAATGGGAGCTTTGTTTTATTGGAAGCAGTGACCAAACTGGGCGATTTTCACAATTCATGTGTATATGTGATATATATCGTGAGCCAGGTGCCAGGTCTAAGAGTAAAGTGGTGATATTGGACAGTATGCTCTGATGGTGATTGTTGTCGTCACCCCCCACCCCAGGAACCTCTGAAGACACCACAGACTACACTTCGGTAGTTACAGTTGGTTTTCATTGTATGGCAAATGAACATCAGCGTGTCAGTCCCCATATCCTCTTCTACACCGGTATTCACTTGAGCAGCTAACTGAGCCCCTCTGAGATTTGGTTCCCTTTTCTGCACAAGGAAATTTCGTTGGGAATGTCTTGGAGCCCTGCCAATCTCCAAAGCCCCACGGCTCTGTGACTTTTCAGTCATCTTGATGCTAACCATCTATTTATTCAGAAATGTGAATTTCGTCAATTTTCTTTGCATTTTCTCTTTTTAAATTTATCATCATCATCAGTGTGTGGACTTGTGCGTGAATGTGGATGTCTGTAAATGGAGACCATGCTTTGGTTTACCAGCCGTCCAGACCCAAATAATCACACAGAAACTATATTAATTACAACTCTGTTTGATCTATTAGCTCAGGTTTCCTATTAACTAACTCTTACATCTTAAATTAACCCATATCTATTAATCTGTGTATTGCCACAAGACTGTGGCCTACCAGAAAGGTTCTGGCTGCATTTCTCCTTCGGCAGCTACATGGTGTCTCTCTGACTCTGCTTACTCTCTCTAATATAACTCTGTTCAGATTTCCTGCCTGGCTTTACTCTGTTAAGATTGGCTGAAGTATCCTTATTTATTATCCAATAAAAGCAACACATATACAGAAGGACATCCCATCCACATCAGAGGCCAGAGGCCAGCTCTGTGATGTTGGTCCTCTGCCTTTCCAGGGTCTGTGACTTTGACCCAGGATATCAGGGTTTATGAAGCAAATATGTGAGCTAATTGAGCTGTCTCAGGCCTCAGTGTTTTTCTTTTAAAAAATCTACTGTAACGTGTCAAGTTATGTGTGGACACAGTGCTAAGCATCGACGCCCTGATGATACAACCACTTCTGTAGCTCTTGCTTTGCACCAAATCTTTATGGAATCTGTGTCAACCGCAGAGAAAGGTACTCTCGCCAGTTCCATGTTTCACGGGTGACGGGACACATACTTGGAGAGACTTCTTGAGCTTGGTTCTCTCTCTCTCTCGCTCTCTCTCTCTCTCTCTCTCTCTCTCTCTCTCTCTCTCTCTGTTATTTCTGGAAATCCTCTTCCCTATCAGCTCTCTGGAGTCCTGTATTCATCACCTGCTCTTTCTGACTTTGAGACTCGCGCATCTGAGCGATGTTTCTGCTGTATCTGTGTCTTTGGTCAGCAGTTTGGGCAGTCATAGCCCTCTGTATCAGCACCAGTTGGCTTTCAGGATTTTGAAGGAGTTGCTGTCTGTCCTTCCTCTGGCAAGGTTCTGTGTGCTTCTCACTTGATCTCTGCACAGTCTGGTTTTACTGGGAACATATTGTGTGTCTTTGTCTCCACTGTCCTGCAGGTTCACAGTGGTACCTTGATGTGATCATTTCTTCAGTCACGTCAAGCCTTTGGGGAGTCTTTTTCATTTTATTTTGTTTTTTGTTTCATTGTTTTTTGGGGGTGGGACAGTGTCTCTCTCCGTAGCCCCAGCTGTCCTGAAACTCACCATGGACACCAAGCTGACCTCAGACTCACAGAGATCTGCTTACTTTCTGCCTCCCTAGTGCTGGTCTTAAATGCATTCTCCACCACACCCTGCCATCTTCATTTTGAAATTCAATCCTTGGCCTTCCATTTGGGAACCTTTTCTTACTTTATTGTGTATTGATCTATCTTCCCCCCCCCCCCAGACTTTGAACCTCTTTCACCTCTAGTGATGTTTCACTGTACTTTGTAGGCTGCCAATCTTCCTCCAGTTGGCTATTTTACGTCTGTTAGTCCTTCTTTTGGAGAAGCTTCTAAACTGTTCTCTTCCAGCCCCACGAGGCTCTCTGTCACCGGTCTCAGCGTGGACCCCCACAGTAATTCTTCTCCATTATGGAAAATTTCAAACAGGGAGTGGAATGAAAAGATTTTCATGTCCATGTCCCCTTCCTTCCCCAACTCCACTTGTTGGATCAACCCCACCCCTGGATTTCCTTGAAAACCAAGCCATCACCCCATGCCATTCACAAACCCGTCTCTGGATAGCTCTAAAGTATAAGCCCTCTGATGTTACAGCGAAACCCACTAGCAGCTACTACTGACCCAGCTAATATTAACTTTGCTCTGATTTGTAGTTTTTATTTTGTTCCAATCGTGTCTCATTATGTAGACACCTGGCTGTTCACAACTCCTAGAGATCCACCTGCTTCTGCCTCTCCAGGGGTGGGATTACAGCTACGCACCATAACGGACAGAAACAACTGGGTTAGTCAAGTGAGGTCTGGAGACTACAATTGGCTACTCTGCTGTAAGTCTCTCGGAATCTGTGTAGGTTTTCCACTTTTCTCCTTTATGGGATAAACTGGGTCGTTTGTCTACTGATTCCCAGGCCCCGTTAACTTTGGATTGCTGGATGCGGCCTTGCATGTCACATTTTCCTCAGCGTCAGGTGGTGCTTCTATTTCTGCTCTGGTCTAGAATGGGAAAACAAAGCTAAGTTGAGCCCGGCACAGATGCACAGGGCTTGTAGTAAGAGCTTCCTTGAGCTACTTGCGGAAGTCCTTCGCTCCAAGGACCACTAGTGTGGATGCCCCCCTTTGGCTGTTCAGATTATCCTACCTGCAGGGTGTCGTGGCCGTGACTACCATCTTTGTGGGGGCCACAGGGATAGCGAGACTGTCTCAGCATGCAAGTGTTCCTGGATGTCCAGTTTGTGTTACAATCCATACCTAGTCCCTACCTTGAGACCATGTTTGTCTACTTTAAAGAAAGGGTCTCGCTGTGTAGCCCAGGCTGGCCTCTGCCTTTCAATACTCCTGCCTCTGGGCCCTTAAATGCTAGGATCAGAGATATGTGCCACCACACCTGGTTAGACCTATACTATATGTTGATCAACGTCTTCAGACTTTTGTCAATACGGGAGAGGAACAGCTGGTCATCTTTATGGAATATAATTGTGATGGTGGTGGGGGTGTCCAGCAGCTTCTTCAAGGAAATTAAATACACCCAGCATATTTTTAGCCCCCTCTCCCATTGCTGCAGGCTCCAGGTGCCGGTACCTTTGGGGGATTCTGGTATGATCTAGATTGGTTTTGCCTTCTCTTCTATCAGTTCAGGGTCCAGCTTTGTCTGTTCTTCCTCCAAAATGTTGTTTTCTTTTGTGTTACTGACTTAGCAATTTAATAGAAAATGAATAAATAAAATAAAACAAAATCCACCTGGCAGCGGTGGTGGCAGCGCACACCTTTAATCTCAGCACTCGGGAGGCAGGGGCAAATGGATCTCTGTGTGTTCGAGGCCAGCCTGGTCTACAGAGTTAATTCCAGGATGACTAGGGCCACACAGAGAAACCCTGTCTCAAAAACAAACAAAACAAACAAACAACAACAAAACAAAATTCCATCCGTAGCCTTTCACGTGGGAG